GGCCTGGGGATGGGGTGGATGCAGGGTGTAGGGGATCATGGGGAGAAAAATGGGGACATCTGTAATACTATGAACAATAAAGATAAATAAAAATAAAACGCAGTGCTCAAGAGTGTGAAACGCTATAGGAAGGTGCACTAACTGAATATCTGACATATGCACTTAATTAAAAAAAACACAGAGGTCACTGACTTCTGCGAAGGCAATGTAGGTAGGTTAGAGTCAACAGTCAGCCAGCCTGCCAAGGGAAAATGAGAACATGAAAAGAATGAGCAAAAATCACTTTTTCAAAAAATAAGACATTGAATGGAAGGAGAAAAATAGGGGAGAAGCTAGGAAGCAGTAATGTAGAGGACAGGTATGTCTGTAACTTAATTACTAACTTGATCCAATGATTTCCTTGTTGTCCGGCCCAGATATCTCAAGAGAGCCACACCTGTACCTTCTTCTGGCCATCTGGTACCTGGATGCCTTACAGAAGCCTCTCAAACTCACATGTCACCATCATCCTCTGTTGGTATGTGGGGACTTAGCATTCTTGATTTTGAGTTCTCTTGAGTGACTCAGAAGAGCAATGGAGTAGCATGTGCTGACAGCTGATACTTGCCTTTGAATCAATATGCGTGGGCAGGGTTTGCGGCTCACTCAATTAGTGGCTGTGCCTGGCTAAGCTCCAAACACAGCTTCATGTTATATATTTCCTGATGTATACATAGGAACACTCCCAGCTGGTGTATACTTTTCTTTGTCAAAAATGGACTTAAAATTTAAAAAGCCAAATCCTGCCCGGCTGGGCGTGGCTCAGCGGTTGAGCATCAACCTAGGATCCAGGAGATCAGGGTTCAATTCCCAGTCAGGGCACATGCTCGGGTTGCGGGCTAAGCAGCCGATCAGTGACTCTCTCATCGTTGATGTTTCTCTCTCTCTCTTTACCCCTCCTTGCCTCTCTCTGAAATCAGTTAAGATATGTTTAAAATAAATAAGTAAATAAAAATAAAAAGCCAAATCCTACTCTTAATGGAAGTGAAAAAGTCCAAGAAAGTGATGAATGATTGTTGTCTAGAAATAAAGGTATTGCAATGGTTAATTTTATCTAACAATTTGACTGGACCATGGGGTGCCCAAATATTTGGTCAAACATTACTATGGGTGTTTCTGAATGAGATTAATATTTAAACCCATAGACTAACTGAGGCAGACTGCCCTCCATAACATGGGTGACCTTCATCCGATCAAGTGAAGGTCTGAATGACACAAAAAGGCTGACTCTCCTCCATACAGAAGAGAATTCCTCCCACCTAACAGGCTTCAAACTGGAAAATCAGCTTTCTTCCTGCATTTTGACTTGACTAGAAACACTGGCTCTTCCTGGGTCTTGAACCTGCTGGCCTTCCGACTGTAACTACACCGTTGAATCTCCTGGTTCTCAGGCCAGGAACTAAATCATTGGCTCTCCTTGAATCTCCAGCTTGCCAACTCACTCTGCTGATCTTGGGACTTGCCAGCCTCCATAACTGCGTGAGCCAATTCCTTTAAATCTTCATCTATGTGTATCTATATGTCACTTATTGGTTCTGTTTCTCTGGAGAACCTTGAGTAAAAAAGATATTTAGTGTGGAATATTGAATTAGTGGTGGCTCATTTCTATGATGTGATTACATCTATCAAACCCAATACATAATAAGTATTTCTTAAAACTGTCCCTTCCAGCCTCCTTTCACATCTCATGTATCAGGTCAATCAAGCTCTGTTGAGTCCACCTAACTCTCTCTCAGACCATCCCCTTCTCTCCGTCCTCTCTGCCACCATCTTCTCCTACCCAGGCTACTGCAACTGGTTGTCTGACTTGCCACGCTAGCTTCTCACTGCAGTCAGTGACCTTTCTAAAGAGGAAATCTGGTTATGTCTTTGATGTGCATATTGCATTTAATGGCTCATCATTATGTTCTGGATCAAGTTCAAAACATCCAACAATAGGATTTAAAATTTTCTTATGATCTAATGAACTTTCAAACTTGCAATACTCTTTCCTGCTCCTGGGTCCTTCCACATCTCACTCCTCTGCCTGGAACATCTTCAGCCTTCCAATTTTCTTCTCATTAATGCCCCTTCACTTTTCATGTCTCAGCATAATAAAACAATAAGCCTGCACAACTGTTCTCTGTGCTTTACATGCAGTAATGAAACCCTATAAAGAAGATACTATTAAAGAGTAAGGGAACTGAGACATAGAGAGTTAAATAACATATTCAAGGTCCCAAAGCTGAACCTCAGATCTTTCCATCAACATCTCTTGTAGCCACAGGCCAAAAACCTGTTACTCTCACAACCCACATCTGATCCAACAGCAAACCCTTTTGGCTCTACCTTCAAAGTGGATCATTAATCTGGCCACTACTAATCACTTCTACAATACTAGTCCAGGATATCCTTATCTCCTACCTGAATTACTTGCCATAGTCTCCTAACTTTTCAGTTCCCCTGATTCCATTCTTGTCCCTCTACAGGCTATTCTCATCATAAGTTCCCAGCTATAGATGCTTTAAAATATAAGTCAGATGTTTTTCCTCTGCTCAAAATATTCCAAAAACTTTTCCCACCAAGAAACGCCCAAATTCCTTACACAACACAATGCCTCCCCGCACCCCCAATCTATCGTCCTCTACAAACCTCACCCTGTTCACTCTGGTCTCCCTGCTCCTCCTCGAATGTGTCAACCAAGATCCCGCTTCAGAGCCTCTGCACTGGCTAATCCCTCTGCCTAGAAAGCTTGTGATCCCCAAAAGCGACGCAGATCTTCTCAGCTACTTCAGGTTTCCGCTCAATTGCCTTCTAAGGCTTACCTTAACACCTGCGAACTCGCGCTCCCTGCATGGAAGGCTGCAGCCGACGCCGGCGTCCGGGGAACGACGTCCACAGCTCCGCCGCCTGCAGGCCCAGGACGCCGTCGGCGCTCTCCCTCCGTCGCGAAGGCTTCTCA